CGGAATTCTTCCTTCGTAAGCCCTGTGTGTCGTAAGAGGAAACTAAAATGCCGTGAGCAAGGGTATAGTAGCCTCTCTCCTGTATATATTACCAAATTTGAAAAGAGAAACTTTTGTTTTTCCTTTTGGGCCACCCTGCCTCGGTGGGATACAGCCGGCTTATTGAAAGATATATATATATATATATATATATATATATATATATATATATAATATATATATATATATATATATATATATATATATACATATATATAGAACTGTTATAGGGACCCTCATCCTCAGAGAAAAGAATAAACTTGCTTCAGGGAAAACTCAAGATTCTCCCTGAAGCTGTTTGAGAATTTTCTCCTACCACCCCCTATATTATATATATATATATATATATATATATATATATATATATATAAAATATATATATATATATATATATATTATATATATATATTTTATTTAAAGACAAAATACATTGACAAAACATTCACAAAAATATGATACAAAGTAAAACAACATATATATATATATATATATATATATATATATATATATATATATATATATAATATATATATATATATATATATATATATGAACACACATACAATACATATAACAGATAATGATTCCAGGAGGGCAATGTTCTGACATGTGGTCTATGGCCAAGGACCTAGTGGTCCTTGGTCAAGGATCAGAAGGATGCTCGCCCGTTGATATGATTCCATATCTAAATGGCCAGGATGGGACTCTCACTTTCTACAGTCAAGAAAAAACTGACATGTTTGGGGTCCACTTTCCTGCCATATGCAGAACCCTATCCATGCGAATCGGATATTAGTATCAAATTTATGGGAGAGTTTTTAATCCGCAAGATGTCATACAATTCCCAGGGAACAGGAGGTAATCAGGTTTCAAATAAGGCAGGGAAAGATAACTCTTGCTAGATAGCTGCACGAACATTATCAATGTTGTCGAGTGTGAGAGTAAGATTGTAGGAAATATATGTTCCTAAATCTATATACATATAAAAGGTTGGTGTGCAGGACAGGGCGAGCCTGAGGTTGCTGACTAGACTTGCTGACTAGCTAGCATGTCCACTAGCTTACTCTGACTAACTTATGCAAAGACATAAGTGCAACGACCTCTTGGGTATCTTGATTGTTGCATATGTGTTTAAATCAAATTGTCGGCATTATGTACCATTAATATCTGAGAGCTTTTCACATGACTGGGAAAGGGTCCTCTTTGTGGAATAAAGCTTAGGTAGTCCTTATTTATGAAAGGAGCAATATTTAACAACTATTAACAAGGAGCGATATTTAACAACTATTAACAAGGAGTGATATTTAACAACTATTAACAAGGAGTGATATTTAATAGCTATGAACAAGAGGTGATAATTGACAGTTATAAGCCAGTGTCATTTCTGCAGACGTAAATGAAAATATTAGTTAAAATAATATCAACATAAGCAGCAACAGCAACAACAACATAAATAAAAGATCAACAACAAACATTAAAACCAATAAAAAAATACAAACAACAGCATCAACAACAACAAAAACAACACCACCACCAAAGCCATTTTATATTATGCGTATAATAAGAATATTAATTAAATTAAATAACGTAGATCAAAAGATCATAAATTTCATCAGCGACTGATCTTTTTCCAGCAAAGGTTAATTTAATTAATCTGAAAATCATTACATTTTACTTATCTGATCAACATGGAAACTCATTTTGCTACGGTTTGTGTTGTGACAGTAAACTCTATGAATATTAAAAAGGAATTATGAATTATCAACAATATAATCACGATTTTCTAAGTACCTTTTAATATTTTTATTTATTATTATTATGTATCCCTGAAGGAGGACTTTAAGAGGTTGCCTGATTTTTTTTTCTCTTTCCTTCTTTCAACTTTTTCGATTTTATTTCACTCATAATTTGGGAAGGCGCTATCCACTCGGTTTCAGTTTTTTTAAATTTGTGTACGGTAACCAGGACTACATTCCTTGAACAAGTGCTATGCTAAGGCCGACTATGGCCAAGGTTGTTGAACTCATTCCCAGCATCCTGGAATAACTGGGATAACTTCCAAGACCCTCAGTGGCGGAATTTCAAATAGCCACGAAACATGCCGAAAAATCGACGATGGCGTAGAGTGAAATTCAATTAAGTAGGTGCAGATATGACTGTTTTATTGGTAAAACAGTGTGAAATTTGTATTCCTGTTAAATTACGTTAAATAGTTTTCAGTTGCTGTTATTAAAGGGCTTCAGCATTTAATGGCTGATGCATCTTAGCGGAAGGAGAGTGCCTGTCAAGTAAGTTTTGTTTGTGTGCAAAAAAAAAGCGATTTGATGATGTAATAAGATAAAAAAAAACGGAATTGTTGGAATATTTACCATAAGCGGAGAATAACTCATGTGATCGCCTTCAGACTTTCACCGCTGGTGTGATTTCCCGAATACAAGTCCCACGCTGTCAGTGGGGGACACAAGTCCCACGCTGTCAGTGGGGGACACAAGTCCCACGCTGTCAGTGGGGGACACAAGTCCATATTTTCAAATTTTACAGAAGAGTGACATTCATTTTTATTCAATGCTTAAAAGAATGCTTCATCTGACTGGCTTCCAAATAACATTGACGATACATTCTGTAAGAAGAATAACCCATAAGTGCAAATTAGAAAGTTGACTGAAAAAGTGAAAAAACTTGAAATCGTTGGAATCAAATCAATTATTAGAGAATGACTTTTCTGATCGGTCTTTCTGATCGGTGGGCTTTAATTAAACCACATCTTGTCACTCAGTTATGGCTGTATTAATTTAAATTTGCCAATTTTATTCTGCAAATTGTTTTCCATGTAAAAACAAAAGAATGCCTCATCTGATCGGCTTCAAACCCTATATGCTGGTGTATCCTAATAAGAAGTATTTTTTTTATTATATTACTTTTGGACTCTTTGGGCGCGAATTTTCCATTTTTTCAGTATTATAAAACTGGAGATGTGTACAGGACTGCAGACAATTTTAAATAGGATGGAAATGTGAACTAAAAAAAAATCCTCGGTTTTAAGATTTTTTTAAAGTTTAACGAAGGGAGACGACTAATTTTCGGAATATTCTCAGCAACATTCTCGATTGTTTTCTCACAAATTTTCGTTCATTACTCGAGAACACCTTAGTCGATCGGCCTCAAATTTTCAACGCTTGGATGATGTATCTTGGGCAAGATTCATGGGTCTATTTGCATACGTGGGTGTCTTGTATACAGTGCTACAGAGGCCTTTCCATAATACACAAATAATCAGCACACAGGAGAAAGAAGCTTACGACGATGTTCCAAACCGACCATTTCCAAAGTCACACTAACGCAAGAGCCTGAGGGAGCCAGTATATACAGGCGAGGGGGACAGGGACGGGACCAAGAGAGGTAGAAAAACAAGTAGTGATAGTGATACGGCTGATAGTAGAAGTAAAAGTAATGGTGGCAGAAGAAAGTAGGGAGAGTAGTTTAGTGACACAAGAAAGGGGAGTGAAGGGTGAAGGGAGGCAGTGGTAATGGCAGTAGCAATAGTAGTAGAAATGGAGTGGAAGTCGTAGTAGTAGTAAAAGTGTACAAGAAAAAGGACCGAAACGTCGTATTAAGCTTCTCTCTCTCCTACGTGTGGGTTATTTGAGTATTGTTTCAGTCATGGTATTGCACCTTTTCGTTCTTTAACATTCCATAATTTTGTTACCGTGTGATAGGTGGAGAGAGGTTCCTCTTATATTTTTCAAAATTTCAACACTCGTATATCCTATGTAGAAAAGGTTGTTATATTTAATGGAGCGTCTACGTAGATGCAATTTTAACACCATTAATCTCTAGATGGTATAGTATTATTTTACCTTTATTACATAATTTTTCCTTGAGGTTGATAAGCGGATTTTGATCCAAGGAACTGGGCTTATATTCCCCTTGCTTAAATCAAATCTGAGTTTCTTCCATTACACAAGCATACATGCACAAATACATATGCACAAGATCATTTACAGATGTATTCATATATATATATGTCGTGCCGAATAGGCAAGATTTGCGATCTTGGCTTAAATAGCAACGCTCATCTTGCCATATAAGACAAGCGAAAATTTGTGTATGCAATAATTTCGCCAAAATCATTCTGAACCTAACGAAAAAAATATATTTCACCGTCTTTGTTTAATATTTAATTATTGTAAACAAATCTAAAATATATTTAGTTGGGTTAGGCTAAAATAAATTGTTCTTGTTATAATAAGGTTAGGTAAGATTTCTAAGATTCTTTTGTTGCAAAATTAATTTTTTTTTACACCAACATTAATGAAAAAATCTAGCAATAAACGTATAAGAGACATTTTTAGAAAGGATTTAATTT